ACTTTTATTGTTTCCCCCCCCCCTCATTCTATTCTTGTTTGTTGTTTTTTTCTTTTTCATTTTTTGTTTTACCATTGATATGAGGAGAAAATAATAATAACCCAGACATAATAGAACATTTGACATTTTTATAAATTAGAAAAATAAATGTACTTTGAAGTATATTTATAGATGATAAGCACAAAGGAATAGCGATTGGTGTTGAGATTTAAGATGGGTGTTTCGTCCTATTTTTTTAGGACTCGTCATATGAGAACGTTTATTTTGACATCAATAAGATGAAATAATATTGTCGATGGGATCATCACTTTATATATGACTCTAGTTATATCGTATGATTGATTGTTATTGAAATGCATATATTGACTAGCTTTGGATACAACTATCGACTTAATCCACGTTAGTGAATAACGGAATTAAATAAGTCAAATGAGAGAATGAATATTTTGAATGGATATATTTTGTACACACAATCAAAGGAACAAAGTGACGCCCAGCGAAGAAGGAGAGTGAGCTAACTATTAAATCAAGCGTTAATCAATACTTATAGCCGAAGGAAAAATAAGTTACAGACATGTGATGAATAAGATAAGAAGTGTACACACACACATATGCTCATATAAAATCAATTAGAGTTGATAAGTGTATAATTGACAAGATCAAAATGTGACTCAAGAAGAATGGACAAATTGATCTATCCAGAAGCTAAAGTCAACTACATGGTCTTAACATAATGACCGACACTACATATCTACATCAGTACCGTTCACTTAAAACACCATCTCAATTATTCACTTAGTTACTGATTCAAATAAACAATATAAAGTTGACTGATTAAATTTGAATATGGATTTAATGTTAATATTTGATCATAACAATTGTTATATGGATCCTACTGTTATAATGAATTCTTTTTATTTCTATATTTAAATGTTTTTGTGTTGGGGACGTTAGATCCCTAGAACTCACTTGGGAAAGGACCTAATTTTGTAATTTTATTTATAAAATACTCAATATACTCGATATTATAAGAGGTCATGAATGGTTACCTTTATGGATTTTCAATCAAAAAGTAGATAGTTTATATTACAAATTGTAGTTACTTATATACTGGATAAACATTGGGGAGCCCTATACAGTTGTTTTGTCTTGCTGTATTACTCCTCTACACTGAACAGTTAGAATCTGTATCCATTGGTTTACAGTACTGATCTCAACCGATACGAGACATTTCACAATCATCATTCAATGTCATTGATAGTTGTCTGCCTCATGGCTTCTCACTAGTACTCTAGCAGTTACATTTACACACTGCTGACAAGTCCCATACTAAGTAGCTGTAAAATGTTTGCTGATTTTTCTATGTTCCTTTTATGATCCATATATGAAGCAAACCTAAATACGACAATCTTTATAGACCTCATATAATGATATGATTAAACAACTATTCAGTATGCACAAGTTCTGAACAGTACACAATATGTCATCAGTCTGTGAAGGGAAACACATTTTTGAGTCAAACAGGACTACATTAATCACCAAAATAAAAATACAATAGTTTAAAGAATATTAGAATCTAATTACCATTCAGGTGTAAATATTAAAATATTTGATAAGTGTTATCTAGACTAATAGCTCGAATCCCAAAACAAGACATTTATACTTTTTTCATTCAAATCATCGTCAACACATTCATCTGTCAATTTCTCTAGAAAGTGTATGATGAATTCTTACTTCGAACTGTGCGACTTACTTACTCACTCCTTTTACCCCTCATGGAGGAGCATAGGTTACCCGCCAGCACTCTTCATCAAACCCTATCCTGAGAAATCCTTTGCAGTTGTTAATCATCATTTTGATGTCTGCTTCCAATTCCCGAAGCCAGTTGCTCTTTGGCCTTCCACATTTTCGTTTCCGTCGATGATTCCAAGTTGGGGATTGCATCGTGATGCAGTTTGATGATTTTCTCAGTGTGTGTCCTACCCATTCCCAATATATTTTACTAATTTCCTCCTCAGCTGGAAGTTGGATTGTCCTCTCACACCGAAGGCCGTTCCTGATGGTATCAAACCAACTGACATTGGGTATCTTGCGCAGACAATTGTTTATAAATACGTGTACTTTTTTGATGACGGTTGTGGTAGTTCTTCTAGATTCAGCTCTATACAGTAGAACTGTCTTGACGTTCATATAGAAGATTCTGACTGTAATATTGGTTGACAGTTCTTATGAGTTCCATATGTTCCTCAGTTGTAGGAATGTTGTCCTTGCGTTGAATTTTTAAAAAAGGATGGGTGTTAGCTAGGAGTGAAAACTGAAACCCAGTATCCTTCCCTTCATATGTCATCGCATAATCCACTTAGCTATTGAGTTCAGATAGCCATCGGTTTGTACAATGAAGTGAATTTTAATTTTTAATTCATATATATTGATTGTTTCGAATCGTTACGTTGATGTATCTGACTGAGTTTTAGAAAACTGGTACTTCATCTAGAATTCAAACAATCATCATCTAACTCCAGATTATAAGACATAATCACTGAGCTAATCAGATAATGGCTGACCTGGCTAGTGCAAACTTGAATTCTATGAAGAGTTCATTTTGTTCAAAACTTCATATATACTATGCTGACGAGTGTTACAGGGTTCAAAATCTAGATCTTTATATTTCTCATCAACTTTCTTTATCTGCCTAACATCGATCAATGTATATTCGATTTTGATTCATTCACTTTAGTATCCAGTCGAATTCTATTAGAACCAACAACTAGATGCTTACTTACTTACTTACGGCTGTCACACATCATAAAGGAGCATAGGCCACCCACCAGCATTCTCCACCCAACTCTCTTCTGGGCAATCCTTTCCAAATCTTTCAAGTTGTTATCCATTCTTTTCATATCGGCGTTTATTTTCTGACGTAATGTATTATTCGGCCTTCCTCTTTTCTGCTTCCCTTCAAGATTCCAAGTTAGGGCTTGCCTCGTGATTTTCTCATAAGGTATGTCCTATCCATTTCCATCTTCTTTTCTTAATTTCCTCTTCAGATGGAAGTTGATTTGTTCTCTCCCACAATAGACTTTTGTTGACGATATCCGGTAAATCGATGTACAATATCCTTCGTAGACAACTATTTATAAATACTTGTACCTTCTTGATGATGGTTATAGTAGTTTATCAAGTTTCATCTTCGTACAGTAGAACTAGATAAATACAACATTGTTCATAACAGAATAATCTTTCTATTTAATTCAATGAATTTACAATCATATTGTAAATAACATGTGTTATGGTGAACAATTGTAAAGTAGGTTAGGCGTTCACGCGCGCGAAACCTAAGGCCCTGGAGTCGAATCCCGCGAGCGGGATCGTAGACGCGCACTGCTGAGGAGTCCCACAATAGGGCGAAACGGCCATCCAGTACTTCCAGCTTTCCGAAAATGGTCTGACATCAATCGGTTCATGATCTCAAACAAAAAATGTAAAGATTGATATAGCCTTTGGTTAAAGATGATTGAAATGAGATGATATAATTTTTACTATTGTACTTTTAATCAATTTTAGATAACTTAAAATGTTCTTCAAAGCAAAATGATTATCAAGTATCTTTTATGATCCTCTTTTTTTTGTTCTATTAAGTCAATACTTCCAACCATAAGGAACAAACTTCTTTTTCATTCAATTACCATTTTAGTGTAAATACACTTGAATTGACAATGAAATAATGACTAATAAAACCAAAATGGTAATTCATTTGATGTTGCCTCATTTGTATCTTCCTATTGTTGTTTAGGATTACAATGGATCAGTCTGTTTTTGACATATGTACATACTGTGTGGATTGCATTGATATTGCCTGAAGTCATAAGATTTATAAGCAAAGATGAATAGCAGTGAAAACTAGGAGGTACATTTTGTCCTATTTGTAATTCATCAGCTGGATTTACCTGCATCCTAGAGTTAATATACACTCTGAAACACGGACCCAGTACTGTTCGCTTTAAATGTCATCACGTTATCCATTTAGCTACTGAGTCCTGATAGCCAATTGCTTGTGCAATGAGGTGAAGTTTAAATTCACTTAGTATTGTTTACTTGAATCTTCTCATTGATGTTGAGGACTGTTAAGTGTATAACGCAGTTGCGTTTGAAGCGAATAGTACTAGGTTCGAGTCTCGGAGTCAACATTACCTATGAGATGCAGGTACATCCATTTGATGAAATATAAATAGGACGAAACGCGCATCTTGGATTCCACTACTAGCTACTATCAATCATTTCTTAGAATATTTATCATTATTACTTCAGTGTTTGATTATGAATTCTATGATCAAATATCCTTTGATCTTCTTTTTTTTTGTTAATTGTTAACAAATAAAATCATTCAATCAAACGAAACAATTTATTGATGGTATTCATTACAGATTAATCTTCATTAGGGTAAAACTTCAAAGAAATTAAACAGTACTTATTATTTCAATAAGCTTACATCACTCATATTATGATACATTAATAGTATGTCAATAAGATAGTAGTTGGAGGTAGTCCTGTTGATGGTGAACCGTACAGTTCTGGAATCGCACCGGTAGATGCCATCTATACTTTTTCCATGATATCCTAGTCACCTTTTAAACAGAAGCTTGCAGCCTGAACGCAGTTTTCAAGCTTAGTTCTCCCTAAGGTTGTGTATACTGTATTGAACATGGTAGTATCTAAGTTGTTGAATGTTCGTCTTAAGACCCATGTGATTTTAAACCCCCTAGCTAAAACCTCCCGGAAGTAGACCGTAATCTTAAGATCATGACTCACTGTCACCCCAATATCCTTGTGAGACCAGATCACGCATACAGGCACTTCGTCCATTCCGTACCTAGTTATAACCATACAACCTGGAGACATTGTGACATGAGTCGAATGAAATGATATGGTATACATGTATTACTAACATATGCACATTTAAATATAATTTAATTTTCTTCTCTTATCTTTTGCATGAATAGCTCATCTCCCATTACAATGTTGGATACCACAAGAATTTTCACGTAGTTGGGAAGAATATGCTGAACATTATTGTTGGGTAACAAATACATATTTTACTAATGTTCAATCAGCTATTCCACCTGTTAATAATCGTACAACAGTTGTACGTTATTATCAATGGGCTACATTTGTATTCATATTACAGGCTGCTGGATTTTTTCTACCATGTCTTATTTGGAGATTACTTCAGGTATATTCAAGTTTTTCAACACAAGTTGGTCAATATGAACCTTAAAATTTTAATTTACTATTGATATTATTAAGTTAGAGTTAAAAGGATTTTAGTGTAGTGAATGAGAATGCACAAAAGTGGGGACAATCAAATGTATTTGACTACAATATTACAGAATATCTTAGTAAAATTTGCGATTCATACAGTAGATAATTCATTTGCAAAATGTTAATCAATCATGTCAGACTTCATTGTTCTTTCGTTCCCGCATCAATCCTTCTCTGTTCTCATTCCCTTCTCTTTGACCTTCATCTTCTGCCTCTAGACATTTCACTTTCAATTGACGATACATACTACTTATATATCTATTGACATCAGTCGTATGCATCACAATAGTAGTACTTAACGATAAAATTACAAAATATTCATCATGGTTTAGTGATTGCCAATTAGATGTTAACAGTTCAGGAATAGACATCTTAATTATGTTCATTTGGTGAGACTATAATTTATGGAACATCTTTGAGCGACGCTGAAGTGACCTTGATAGTGTCTACCTAATAAATAGGACTAAATGAAGGTTATGAAACATTATGGGCGATTAGATTTATGATTTACAGTTAATGGCTAAGCTTAAGAATTAATTTTTTGGGTTTTCATCATGAACTGACATCAGTTATAATGCCATAACTCTACTTAGCTAATCCGAGACCTGTTATCATGTATGTGAATGATTCGTCCATAAGTTAAAGTCTCATCGTTCATTCTTTTTGATGCATATTGCCAACAACCACGATGTCTCTGATTGAACTCTTTTGTTACTTGTACAGCGAAATGTCGTCAACTTTTCATAAAGGCAGTTGAATAGTTTATGAGACTAACAGCCATAATGCTGTGTTTTGAAACATACAAACAGAAAACGGACAACTTGTTGAAAGATCCAGATGGCAGTAACAAGTAGCCCAGATGTACAGTCAGGTCGCCTGACCAATTTAGATATTTATAGTACTAAAATAAACTGAATATGACACGATAGATTTTTATTGACTTATCATTTTAAAGTTTGATAACTCTTTTAATTCAATGTCACAATCACCAGATTTGTTTTGTTATTATGGCAAATATCATAAACATGTAGATATGATCCATAGGACTTAACATAACTATACCAGACCTTTATGGTGTTGGTTTCAAAATTACAAACTATCTTTGTAAAATATGAGAACCGTTCATTGAATACGTCAATTGCAGAGTTTCATTAATTATCCTTCACATTCTATATGATTCTTTTAGTTTACAATTTCTTTCTATTTCCCTTTCGATTCTCTTCAACGTTATCTTCTTAGTTTTCTGCTGCCAGGTATTTCACTTCTCGTAGTGTTACATACTACTTATGTCGACAGATATAAGTAGCATACATTAAAGTATAAATGAAAACTGTAAGTGATCAAAAGCGAATGCTTTCAGTGTTAAAAATAAAACTTGTGTTATGATGGATAATCATATATCCCAATAATTGTTTATGACCATGAATAGATCGTTAGGAACTGATCTAAATTACGATAGACATAGGATAATAGTGACTTACCATTGCATAATAATCAATGTTATATCTGTTTAGTTCTTGATGTTGTACGGAGTTTCTTAATTAAAAGACTAAGCGATTCGATATCATATTCATTACATTTTAATATTGGACAATTTGTGATAGTCGGTTAGAAATGATGAACCAGGATTTCACAGTACTTGAATATCGTCATTAAACGTGTATTTATAGTTTTGAAAGAACCTATGATGTTTGCAGAGTTCAAATCTCCAACACTCATTGATATAGTTTCAATCTAGCAGAAGGATAACAGAGTGATGACACTTGAGACTGAAACTGGATGACAAGAATCCAATTCACACAGGAAACACTAGTTCTATCAGTACTGCAGTACTGTAGATTGCTAAATAGTACCAACTATCACGAAAGTTTGACCCAGAGTGTTTTTCTAACAAATTCTAACCGCCCAATATCTTGACTTAATAATACAAAATAGCTGAAGCAGTTTTCTTCAAACGAAATGATATCAAAAGACAGAATAATTGCGTAAACATAATGAAGAATGCTTATTATGGTCGTTTGTATTGGTTGATATCAATACCAATGTAGGAGTTGTTAGTTTCAAATAAACTGAGCATTGGGGAGACTTTGGTTGTTGTATTGAAAATCAAGAAATGACTTACATTAGGTCACAAAACGTAAGAAATATTAGTTTCTACTAATCGGGATATCGCTAAAGTATGATGATTCTACTATTGTTTTCATTGGTTATTTGAATCTAATCTAATCTACTCACACTGGCTAGTAAGCAGATAGAAGTAGTTCAGAATTTTGTGCATCTGGGTAGCTGTGTAAGTGCTGGTGGTGGCGTGAGCAATGTGATCAATTCACGTATAGTGAAAGCCAATCCGGCTTATGCCAATGTGGACCACCTTTGGCGGTTTCATGATGTTAGTCAGATTGTAAAATGCCGGGTAAGAGCAGTTCTGCTCTAGGCTTCTCCGAGTTAAGGATTTTAAACGACTCTCTGTTCGGTCATCGTTGTCTGCAATGGATTGCTGGCATTTAGTGGTAATACCGTATTAGTAATGCAGAGGTTTCACATCATTTGTTCTGTCACAGCGATGATAATTCAACTAGTGTTGCCATTTTGAAGCAGCAACTTTGATGGCTTGGACATGTGCTACGAATACATCCCACTGACAAGTTCTAAATAGGATGAAATTCTGGTGTCAAATTCTACTACTAGCTACTAAGCAACTTTACTTAAAATGTTTTATTATGATCGATTTATTTACTGCTATCTATTAAGTTAATGAAACATTTTGAATTTTCCCATTCAGAATCATTCAGGATTTCATGTTCAACGAATAATGCGTAGTGCAATTCGTTTAAATTGTGCTGAAACAGATTCATCACAATTAATTACATATGGATTAGCACGATATATTGATAGTGTTATTTATCATAGATCATATAAACAATGGCGTGTTCATTCACCAAAGATAAAATCACATTTCAAACATAAATCACCACAGAATAATTCTATGATTAAATCCACTCAAAAGTCTACTTCTCATACATCATCCTCTACAACATTGACATCAACATCACATGATATTGGCACTGAGACAAAATTTGTTAAATTTGATAATGAATCATTGCCAACAAAACAAACATCAAATCCATGTAAAACTTTACCAAATGAATCTATGGTGTCACGAAGTTATAAAAAACAACCTGCACCACAACCGCCAGTAACCACCACCAATTCTACCACTACTACTACTACTAGTACTACTACAATTACTACCACTACCACTTCTACTAATACTACTTCCACAACTACTGTTATTACTACTAATACTACAACTACAACTACGGCTGTTATGGTCACTACAAAGAATTCTTTAAAAGTAAACTCTGATCAAATCATTTATACATCTAGTCCTATATTAAAATCTACATCAAATGTTATACAATCAAAATTGAATTCTTTATCATCAAAACAAAATGATCATAGAAAATTCTATTCACCTATATGTAATACATGTAGATTATGTTTTAATAATTTATCAATAATCGATAGAAAAATAAAAACAAAATCAATTCAATCATTAGTAACTACTTCTACAATAACAGAAATATCACCACCACCACCACCACCACCATCATCATCTTCATCATCACTACTACCAACAACAACAACAACGCCCACCGAGTTAACAACCGGTGCAATTTTATTCAACTCAAAGAATAATTCAAGTAAGAGATATTGAATAATTCCTATTCATATACATTAATTCTTAATTATTCACCAGATAACCATTTTAAAAAAAAATATGAAATTCAATAGTTTAATAGTTATCCCATCTTTTTTAAATATACTTTGATGTTTTCCCAGTTTCCTAAGCTGTTCTACTAATCTCTTAGTTGAATCTCCATAGCAACTTGAACACAAGGGAAAATGAGCGAAATATGAGAAAAAAACGTTGTTATGTACAGAAAATCTAGGATATTTATCGCATTTTAGATGGAATTGGGCTTCCGGAAAATTCTAGAACGCTGCTAAACATAGTAACAGTATATGTAATCATTTAATAAGAAATGCAACATGTGGCTTTTCATTTTTTAGATGTTTTTTTAACAGAACTTTTAATAAATAGTGATTATTATCAGATGGGTTTTGTGGAGATTGTAGTAATTCCAATGGTTAAGATCATGAGTCAATTGAAGCTAGACCATCATGGAAAACCTGGAAGCACTGGACGGCCGTTTCGTTCTAGTATGGGACTCCTCAGCAGTGCGCATCCATGACGCCGCACCCCGCGCGATTTGAACCCAGGACCTATCAGTCTCACGCCAAGTGCTTAACCAACTAGACCACTGAGCTGGCCAGCATCCAACGGTGTTAATGTCTAACTTCAACCAATCCACGAAGTTGCGCCACCGTACACCATTGTCTTCAGTGAGCTGATATCTCACAACGGACTTCGTTGAAGTCCACTGATGACGGCTTCTCACCAAAAACTCCAGGAGTGTCTCTTGAAGTCAGTCACTAGTAAGCAGGTGATTATTATCGTAAGGGGTGTTGTGGAGATTTTAGATATTTTTCTGATAAAACATGGTTGTAACTATCTTATTTACAAGGTGATTGATTTTTAGTGGCGATGTAATATCTGACTCCAATTAAATCGTATGATTGATTTTTATTGAAATATACATAATGCCCAATCTTCGTATATAATTATCGACTTAGATCGCGTTAGCGAATAACGGAATTAAATAAGTCGAATAATGAGAATGGATTTTGAAAACGTTTATTTTGTACACTCATTGATCTGGACAAACAATGAAAGGGAAAAAGTGAAGGAAGCGAAATGATGCGAAATGGAGAAGGCGTGTCTGCCAACTTCATTTATTCAAACGCTAATTGATATATATAGTCACACAAAAATAAGTTACAGACTGATACATCCTAAGTTCGAATCTCGCGAGGCGGGGTCGTGAATTCGTACTGCTGAGAAGTACCGCAATAGGAAGAAACGGCCATCCAGTGGTTCCTGATTTTCCATCGTGGTCTAGCTTCAATTGACTCATGATGTCAACTATTGAAATTACAGACATGTGTTGAGTACTTACTTACTTACTTACGCCTGTTACTCCTCGTGAAGGAGCATAGGCCAACCACCAGCATTCTCCATCCAACACTGTCCTGAGCAACCCTTTCCAGCTCCTTCCAGTTGTTATTCATCTTTTTCATATCTGCTTCTATTATCCGACGTAATGTGTTCTTAGGCCTTCCTCTTTTCCGCTTCCCTTCAGGATTCCAAGTTAGGGCTTGTCTCGTGATGCAGTTTGACGATTTGCGTAATGTATGTCCTATCCATTTCCAGTATTACTTTTTCATCTTGTTTTCTCTTTACTTATCATATGTTTTACTTCATGAACCAATGTCATTTAGTTGTCAAGGTAACATTCACAATTTTATGAATAGTTTTTAAAAAAAATTCTTACTCATCATTTCAGCAGTTAGACTCATTTCATTTCACCATTATTTATTTCTGTTCAAGCAAATAGTAGTGGGTACCTTTTTTCCTTATTCTCAATAGGTATCCCATTAAATATCAGGTATAATATTTGTAGTAAAACACGTCATAACATTTATAATCAGTTATTGAATAGATCAGTTACAGAATAATTCGATTGTTTCTTGACGTTATAATGGGTTTGCCCTATGTCCAACCCACATTGATTAATATAGTTTCTGGACAGACTAATCTATTCATTCTAAATAAATCACATTTTGACCCTTTTATTCATTTGCTTTGCTTCGCCTTGTTTCGTCTTACTTCGCTTCACCTCGATATTGAGTAACGCTTAATCAAAGTGAGTTGGCTAACATGTCATCTATGGTTCGCTCTAACCTCTTCCCTTCCTTCGCTTGGTCTCTCTGATTGTCTATTCTGATCAATAATCGTATGTATGTAATCAAAACTTTATTCTTGTATTTGACTTATTGTAAATCCATTATTCACCAACCCGATTTACATCGATGATTAAATAAGAAGATTAGAGATATTTATAGGTGGATAAGGATAATGATCATGAGATGAAACTGGAGTCAGATAATAGGCCACAAAAACATAAACATTTGAAAATTTGATAATGTTGATAAACTATGGTAAAATATTTATAAAATGAATACCTTACATTCAGTTGAAAATGTTTATCATTAATCGACATACCTTGATGATTATGGTGGAGTTTTATTCTGTAGGTTCCACCATTAAGCCATCCAGTTCAGAGAACAAAACTTCACCAAAATCATTCACCTAAACAACAAATCTCCATTATTTTAAGACATTAATGATAATCTAGTGATATCCACAAGGGGTAACAGGCCTATGTATGTAAGTAAGTTGTGCAAAGACCGAATTGAAACACTACAGATCATCGCTGAACAACCAATTGAATGGAACTCGTCACTATATTAAACTTCCTCGACTATGAAATAGCGTTTGACAGTGTGGATTGAAGAACATTGTGAAAACTTCTTCGACACTGTGGTGTACCTGACATGCGGAATTTATACGACGGACAATAGTGTAAAGTGGTACAGCTGACAGACACGTTCTAAGTGAGGAGCGAATTCAGACAAGGCCGCCTACTCTCTCCCTTTCTCGTTCTTTTGGTGATTTGCCGGATTATGAAGACATGTACATCTGAGAGGATGCATAGAAGACAACGGATAGGTTGGATCCAACTAGACCCTGCAGATGAATTGTTACTTCTATCCCATACACATCAACAAATTCAGGTTAACATAAACAGTGTAACAGCAGTCTCTGAATCACTAGGCCTCAACGTACACAAGGGAAAAAGAAAGATCTTCAAATACAACACAATGAGAATCGACCAAATCATACATGATGGAGAAGCTCTAGAAGATGTGGAATCTTTCACGTACCTAACTGGATAGTATCATCGATGAACGTGAAGGATTTGATGCCGACGTAAATGTGGGGATTGACCGAATAAGGTCAGCGTTCCTACAGTTGTAGAACACATGGAACTCAAACTAATCTTCTGTCAACCTTCAATACGATAATCCATATAGTTCTACTGTACAGAGTTGAAACATGGAGAAGTACGATAATCATCATCAGGAGAGTACAAGTATTTATAAACAATTGTCTACAAAGGAGGCAATGCTAACTTTAAATCCAGAAAGGAAACGGAAAAGAGGGAGACGAAATAACATACACTACGTTGAGAATCAGAAGTAGACGTGAATAGGATGAACAGTAACTGAAACGAATTGAAAACAATTGTGCAGAATAGAGTTGGATGGAGAATACTGTTGAGTGGTCTATGCTCCTTTATGATGGGTGACAGGCATAAGTAAGTAAGTGAGAGAATATTTTTGTTGAAAGAATATTATTACTTACTTACTTACGCCTGTTACTCCTAATGGAGCACAGGCCGCCGACCACCATTCTACAACACACTCTGTCCTGGGCCTTCTTTTCTAATTCCATCTAATTCTTGTTCATTCTTCTCATGTCTGTCTGTCTCCGTTTCCCGGCATAATGTGTTCTTTGGTATTCCTCTTCTCCTTTGGCATTGAGGAATACAAGTGAGAGCTGGCCTCAAGTGCATTCCTTGATATGTGTTTTATCCACTTCCAACAATTCTTCCTGATTTCTTCCCCCACTGAGATCTGGTTTCTTCTCTCCCACTGTAGGTTATTCATGATAGTTGCTGATAGCCAACGGATCTGAAGTATTTTGTGTAGACAACTGTTTATAAACACTTGTATGTTCTGGATGGTGGCTTTCGTGGTTCTCCAGGTTCCTGGTCCATACAGTAGAAATGTCTTGATTTCTGTATTGAAAATTCTGACCCTAGTGTTAGTTGACAATTATTTTGAGTTCCAGAAGTTCCTCAGTTGTATCTGCTGCTCTTGCCTCGCCGATCCACGCCTTCACATCTGCATCAGATCCACCATGTTCATCAATCATGCTGCCCAAATATGTAAAGGTTTTTACATCTTCCAAATCTTCTCCGTCAAGTGTGATTGGATCGGTGCATGCTGTGTTGTATCGGAGAATTTCGCTTTTCCCTTTGTGTATATTGAGACCTACTGCTACTGATACTGCTGCTACACTGGTCGTCTTCTCCTGCATTTGTTGTTGCGTGTGCAATAGGAGGGCCAGATCATCTGCGAAGTCTAAATCGTTCAACTGCATCCTAGATGTCCACTGTATCCCATGTTTCCTTTCAGATGTTGACGTCTTCATGATGCAGTCGATCACCAAGAGAAAGAGATACAAGTGATCATTACTATCTGATCAATATTAATAATAACTGGAAATAATCAAATGATTAAAATTTGAACTTCCCGTAAAAATTCAAAAGAAAAGAAAAAAAAAGTTTAATATAACACTGATGTAGAAAAAAAACAAAAAAAATAATTAAATGAATTTACCAAATCTATTTGGAAACTAAATAGAAAACTTCTCAGTAGGTGTGAACAGTGTTAAAAACAAAAAAAACTTTTTTTATTTTTGAAGTTAAAAAGTTCACAAGTTTTCTTTTCTTTTTTTTTCTTTTTAAAAATCGATTTTTGAAAATTCATTAAATTATGTTTAATAAAACAAAAGAAAAAACAGCTGATATTCATTTTTCATATTCACATACCATCTCTTTTAAGTAAAGTTGGATAATGGTTAGCAGGTGGAATCCATGACGAGGGTTTCATC